AGCATTTTCCTAATGAGTCAATAGAAAATTAAAATAAACATAGGAAGAAATAAAAACTTGCTACAGTCTAAAAACTTGTTTCCTCTAAAAGTTCATGTTTTTCATTCCTAACTTCCAGGGTGATGGTATTAGGACATTGAACCTTTGGAGCATCATGTGTGGGGGACCCACTGTGATTGGATGAGTAAAGTATGAAGGAGGATCAGGGGCGACCGTGGCCCTCCTGTCATACGGGGCACAGGCAGGATGCTACCTATGTGCACCAGAAAGCAGACCATGACTGACTGTGCATTGGCTAATGGCCGTTCTTGGACATCACAGGCTCCAGGTCTGTGAGATATGAACTTCATTTATTCAGGACTCATTCTTTTTATGTCACTTTTTATAGTACTCTGAACAAAGTAAAACAGAGTGCCTGTACTGAGTTATTTTAACTTCCCTGTGATGAATAATTATTGGCTTGTTGATTCCTTGTATTACAAAACAAAACACTATTAATCGATGTAACCACAACATCGCTTTGAGCTTACAGTCTTCATGCAGTATCTTGAGATGAGTTCGTTACATGAAGTGATAAAACATACTAAAAATGACGTATTTCAAATTACAGGTGTTCATTAAATAATTTATGTTTAGACTTTTTTTAGTGTCAATTGATTGCTTAGTTTTAAAAACTAAATCTACTCGTTATCAGCAAATTTAATAACCAGTAGTTATTAAAGTTGTCTAGACTTAAAAAAAAAGTTCAGCAAGAAAGTGACTTTTAAATGTCCAGTGCAGTGCCCGTGGTTCTGGTCTCATTAGTTGTCATGTATCTTTCCACGTCCTTTATCTGCTTGTGAATTTACAAGGAACGCAGCAGGTTGTGCATTTTTAATAGACTTTCCACCTGGACAGAAAAGGTCAGCATTAACATAAAATCCTTCTTAAAGATTTGTGACACAAATGCACAAATGTTTCACACCAGAAAGCAGGTGTTGCTAAAGAACTAAAGCCGTGATAATCTAATATTTTTCTATGCCTAAAGAAAACTTAATACCTCATGTAATAAAATAGAGCAAGACAAATCCATGCTTTCTAGTTACTTCCTGAAATTAGATGCTATAACATTTTTGCTATATGATCCATTGATCCCACTTCTCTACATCAATTTGACTTTAATTAAATGTCAGCTCCAATGCTGATGTCTAATATCTGAACAAAAGAGAGTAAGAAGAATAGTAAGAAGGCTACCGCCATGAGTCCTGCTGTCTGTTCCTAGTAAGTGAGCCAAAATGGAAAATAAAATTGTACCATACACACAGGAAATGAGGGTGGTGCAGAACCCCATTGAAATAATGAAGGAAATCTTGTAAAGAAGAAGGAAGCCCAAGCACGAGTCTATAATTAACGAACTTCATCCTGTCACTAGACTTGGTCTGAGAGGTTCCCAAAGCTGAAGTCAGGAGCTTAGACCCATTTTAAAAAACTAATAATTTTTCAAACTTTTTAACTTTCATAGCAGAAAAAGAGTCCTTATGACCTGTTATTAAGAGGTGGAAAAAGGGCTTTTTATGTTATTAGGAGCTATTAGGACCCACTCAGAGAAATGAGGTGCTTTAAGTTCTAGAACGGCAAACACTTATGCTTATCTTGAATGGACAGAAGCCTCAAGAGGATGCAGCCCACCCCAAAGGGCACTAGCCCATTCACAGGTATGGCCGAGTTTGGCTTTGGTTTGACATGGTTCTCTATGTTAACTTAAGCATTCTTTAGATTCTCTCAATCTGTTCCTTTATGTTAGGATCAGACTTCTTCTCTTTACTTTCTCAGTTAAACCAACACCAGGATCCCTGAAGAATTTGGGGTATGATGAGTCTCAAAGGAAGGAAAAATAAATTTAACCAAGGGAATAGGCATAATTTTCTTGAGTAATTTCACCTGAAGTTGCAGTTTTCTCAAAAGTACAAATTTTGGTTATGATTATCTTGTGTCCTTTCCGTATATCTTTTATTTCTTGTATCCTGTCTCATTCTTGTGTTTTGCTTTGTCACATGCTAGGAAACCGTCAGCATCACTAGCTGTTAGGACTCAAGTTTCTGGTCCTGGTCAGCTTCATGTTGGAGAGGAAGCATTTCTCCGAGTGTAAGGAGATGCACAGGTTGATCTCTGACTCACACTGTGTATAGAAAATGTCTATTACAGTTGCTTACTTCTCTGTTACTGAAATATATTTAAATTAATTTTGTATTCAGCATAAGCCACCATGAGAACCCAAATAGAATCATTTCATCTCCACTGAAGTATTACTCTTCACTTCTTTCTGTCTCCAGGAAAGAAAAGGACTTTTTTTTTATTTTATTTTTTTTTATTTTTATTTATTTGAGAGAGAGAGAGAGAGAGAGAGAGAGAGAGAGGTGTGTGTGTGTGTGTGTGTGTGTGTGTGTGTGTGGCCAGCCCAGCCCACCAGGGGGCGGGGCTGGCTGGCATGTGGTGCTGGGGGATTGAACCGCGGTCCCTGATGCCTTGCCAAGCTTGTTCTAAGTAGGTGCTTCAGACCACTGAGCCATCTCTCCAGCCCCAGGACTTTTTTTTTAAAGTGCACATTATTAATATAAATTCTAGTGGTTCAAGAAAGATTCATTATGTGTTCAGCTCTGAAAAAGGAAAAACTGTACTTTATAGGATCCATTTGCTTTTAATTATATTTCTGCTGAAGAATGCAGACATAGTTTCATTTTCTGAAGCTCAAAGCCACAGTCTAACTTGACACTTTCGTCTCTGATTTTCTGGGGCCATATTCAATTTTCTAATCGGACAGAAACTCCCACCATATGTGGTCCAATTATAAGATTTAATTTTCTCTGTAGTAAGGGTAGGTAAAAATCCTGTTGTGATTTATATTCTGAGACTCAACTACATAAAATCAAAATCTTACCTTTTGAGGAGCCTTTGATACATCTTTTTTTTTTTATCAGACTAACTGAACTAGCTTTAATATATTTCATGTTGCTTTCTTTCATTCTCTTTTCCAAATTCATGCTTCATTTGCATGCAGTGTCCAGAGATGTATTATTTATAAAATGTAAAATATTTTCATGTTCAAACCTCTGTTCTTTCTTTGTTTGGTAATTTAGGTACTAAGTGCTTAAGAAATCTTCCTTAATTCCTCTGGCTGGTGACATGAATTTCTATTACACACTTGGTTTGAATCTTCCACAGAAATAGAATGGAATTGTTGATTTGCCTTTAGATGTACCTGATTCTTATGAGAATAAACAAATATTTTTCCACTGAAGCTACTGAATGAATAGACAATAAATGTTAGAATTGCTTAGTAGAAGCACAGCTCTCTGATCACATGATTGATGCTACCAATAGTGTTTTCTTAACTTTTTTGATTCCCAGGCCAAACAAGAAAAATATAATGTGTAGAGGGGTTAGCTGGAAAATTACCACTGTATTACACATGCTTATAATTAGATGATTTCTCAGCAATTCTGTGCATTTAGAGAATAGGGCTGGCCAAATAGCTCAGTAGATTAAAGTACCTGCAAACAGGCGCAAAGGCTGGAGATTTGATGCCCAGGCCTGTTGTGCCCTGCCCCCAGGAATGCGAGACTGCAGTTGATACTGGGGGTGCTGGTGTGAGTTTGTAATCCCAGCTCTTGGGAGGCTGTAAACAGGCAGATCACTATGAGTCCAATCTAATCGCGAGACCCTGAACGCCCTGTGTACCCTTCTCTAAAATGCAAAAAATAATAATAATAATAATAATAATAATAATAATAATAATAAATTTTAAAAAAGATAAAAAGAAATAGAAAAGAAATAGGGTTGCCTTGAATTGCCATATTCCTGATATATCTTGTTCTTACTTTGCTTGCTCTTTCAGTATTTTACAGAGATAGATTTTACAAGATTGAAGACTAGACTATGTTTTATTTTAGTGTTCATTAATTTTTTGCACGTGCTGGTTGGGCACTTTATTAATAAAATTTATAACATGTGTATAGGTGTGCATGTTTTATGTAGAACCTATCTGTGCTCTTGCTCCGAAACCAACAAATATGGATGAATCATTGTCTTTTGTATGAATTATGTATGGTTTTCCTCAATTAGGAGCTAGGCTTTATCCAGCTTTTCCTAGCTTAAAGATTCCAAAGTGTCACTAATTCGACAAGAAAAACGTAGCATAAATGGAAAAGTTACCTGTGGAAGAATTCCTGCAAAATATGAGAGGAAATATTTTCCCTTCACAGAAGAGATTAGACAATAATCTTTACACCAACCTACCAAACTTGAGAGGATCTCTTTATTCTACGTATTTACCATAGAAATGGGTTTTCATCAAGTGTGTTCATCATAGTCTCAACTCTCAAGCAAACAAAATCCCATGACGTCTACAATTTGAGGAGAAGTTTCTCTTGACTCTCAGTTTCAAAGAGAACAATTGACCAGGGTCAGTTGGATGAGGCAGAAATGGAATGGTGAGGGGGTAAAGAGGGTTAAAAAAGTCAAGGTGAGGGCAGCCAAGGGACGGAAAGCGCAGTGAGGAGCCGGGGACCAGAATCTAGGTCCTACACCGGCACCTCGCGAGCCTCGCTGTGGGGCGGCACATTCCCACCGCACATCCATCTGCAAATGCATCGGGGAGCATTGCACGCGTGAGTACTGCACTCTCAGGATCCAGGTACAAGCCTCGCCGCCGAACGCACTACAATTCTGAGTCAGGTTTCAGATCCAGACTACAACACCAAGTAACGCAAACGCAGGAGTTCGGTCTACGTTATTACTTTTTCCTATTCAGTATAAAAATCACAATGATACATGAAAGGATTTTCTTAGTGCTTAAGGTGTGCATGCGTGATCTAGATCTTAGGTAATTCTTTCGTTTCATGAAAGCAGATTGCTGACCCCATTATTCAATGATGCCACTTGCAGGACCTTCTCTGAATTCTTTCAGCATTGTCCACCTGCACGCAAGCGCTGTCATGAACGTGCTCCTTTTATTTCCCCAGCTTCATTCAGACCAAGATAAAGGCGATGGATCACTCAAGTATATTTTATCTGGAGATGGAGCTGGCACTCTTTTCATTATTGATGAAAAAACAGGTGATATCCACGCCACAAGAAGAATTGATAGAGAGGAAAAAGCCTTCTATACTCTACGTGCACAAGCTATTAACCGAAGAACTCTGAGGCCGGTAGAACCAGAGTCTGAATTTGTGATCAAAATCCACGACATCAACGACAATGAGCCAACATTTCCAGAAGAAATTTACACAGCTAGTGTTCCTGAAATGTCTGTTGTAGGTAAGCTCATTTCTATTTGTGAAAGCATTCATAAAGTGTAACAATAATTTGAAGAAATTTTTGCAACTAATGTTTTTGAAATAATGTTTTGTCCACTATCAATAATGCACATGTAATTTTTATTGTATTTCACATTAACTGTGGGTTTTGAAATCTTTTCAGTGCATGTAGAAAGAAATCCATATCAAGAATGTGCTTTTGGCCATCTTTAGCAAGCCATGAAAAGATCAAATTCTATCACACACCTTTGGACAATTAACAGTTGCATGAAATTCTGTCTTTTGTCTGTTTGTTTGTTTGTTTGTTTGTTTTTTGCAGAACTGGGGGTTGAACTGAGCCCCTTGCACTTGCCAGGCAAGCTCTTATTCTACGGAGCTATCTCCCCGGCCCCTTGCATGAAATTCTGAACACAAATATTTTATATGATTTTAACAGTACTTTTAGGACCTCCAAAGGAAACCCAAATTCTTAGATGTTCAGTTTCCTAATTGAAATAGGAAAATATTTGTTTACATATAATGTAAACATGTCAACCCGTATGCTTAAGCTCATCTTTAGATAACTTGAGATACTTAATACAACAAAATGTAAATATTTGTCATTGTTTAGAGATTACAGCAAAAAAACTATTTTGTACGTGTTCACTGGAGATGCCTTTTTAAAAGATGTTTTTCCTACGAGAATAGTTGAATACCCAAATGCCCAAATCACAGGTATCTAAAGCTGATGATGTATTAAAAATACCACTGATGCAATAGTTTCATTCATGTAGTTAGTTTAAATTCACCTAAAGGATTTCTGTAAATTATCTACATATTTCAAATGGTGAATTAATTAAATTATTAAATTATATTTCCTATGTACTAAGAGATGTCTTTCATTATAACTATTATATATGAAAGCTTGCTGGCATAAATCTCACATTAAACAAACTAGTTGCAATCCACAATTAATGACATCGGGGCTAGGGAAATGGCTCAGTAGAATAAGTGCTTGCCTGGCAAGCGCAAGGGCCTGAGTTCAACCTCCAGTTTCCCTCCAAAAAACAAGTAAACAAAAAGCCACAATTAATGACATAAGGTAAATAATTACAAAGTTAAAATATGGGACTTATAAATAAAAAGGCATAAAAAGTAAAACATTTTATCTAAAAATGAAATTGCTTTTTATAATATAAATATATATAAGTTATATTGGTAGGAAAAAGCATTAAAACTGTTTGCTTATTTATTCAAAGAGCACGACAAATATTTAGTCATCAGGAAATACTTTTTTTTTAAAGTTTATTTATTTATTTATTTATTTATTTATTTATTTGTGTGTGGCCAGCTCAGCCCACCAGGGGACGGGCTGGCTGGCATGTGGTGCTGGGGGACTGAACCGTGGTCCCTGGGCTTTGCTAAGCTTGTTCTAAGTAGGTGCCCTAGACCACTGAGCCATCTCACCAGCCCATCAGGAAATACTGATAAGCCTATAACAAAGATATGTGCTTGTTGTGCAAAATACACACTTCTCATAAAATTCTAAATTCATTTAAAGTGTGAAAATAATTCTGTTGCTTTTTGTTTGCAAGTAACAATTTTAATATATTCTCAAACTATATTTTGCTCAAAAGTTTTATTGTGAGACTGTTACTTAGTATTTACTATGCAGAATTCCAAGGACATTTTGCAATTGCCTCACTATAAAATGCTTATAAATATCATGAACTTTATTAAATAGATTTTAGTAGTTCTTGTTACTTGTGATCATCTTGGATTGTTCCTAAATTTAGAACTCAATCTATTCATAACATTATATTCCAGAGCACATGCTAATTATTTTTAGAGTTAATGAGTGCAGAGCGCAATAGAAGAGCACAGTTATTCCTTTGTGGTTAGATGTGTCCTGAGAATGAAAGAAATTTTTCATGCAAAAGGATTTAAATATCAGACGTGAGCACTCGTAAAGGTACCATATGCATGACATTCTGAAACCACGTAACATTGGCCATTTCCTGCAGAAAAATTCTCCCAATAGCCAAATACATATCTTATAATCAAATACATATTACCTATACTAGCAATATATATAATATAAAAA